CCGGGTTAAGAATATTCTGTTCCCCTATCGACGATCCTTCGCAGAAGATAGCGCTATTTGTGTAATAGCGAAAATCAGACCTGAAAAAAATCAGGCCTGTACGGGATTCGAACCACTGACCTCTGCGATACTAGTGCAGCGCTCTACCAATTGAGCTAACAAGCCTGTTTACTTGTTATTACAAAGATGTTTTTGTAATAAGACATGGAAGAGTTGATAAAGCTATTAGAAGTTTTTGCATTTTTTTTTTTCTTGGAATGGAAGTTTGCCTCTAGAGTTTTCTGTATTTTAAGTAATAATGACCTGTCCTCTTTGTCATTCAGGGCTGTTTATGAGAACAATATTCAGTACCTGCCGCCTGGAGTTTTTAAAGGCTTAACAAACATACAGTCTATGTAAGTCTCTGTTTCTCATTAGCATTTTTAATCGACGTTAGTGAAGCTCTGCAAAACAGGGGTCTTGTGAAAGTGCAGTCGTCCGCATGTTCTACATCTCCGTCATTTGAGCAGGTTGTGTCAAAAATTACGCACGAGTGGTCACGATTGACAGCGAATAACCACGAGTGACCACTAACAACTAAGAGGGACCGTTAACAACCATGAGTGGCCACACGTGATAAGGGCAAGAAGTCATAAATTTGGCTGGCATCATAATCTCATTATCATCAGGTGACTTCATCCAAAAACTTGTGACTTCAACGTAGATAAACCATTTACGGAGACTGACAAATGCAAACAATGTATCACTTCCTTCATTGAAAGCCGGTTAGTTCCCAGAGCTACTTCGCTGTCATCAATTGTTACGTGATGAACTTGTTTCCGCTCAGTTTCCTAAGACAGAAGGAAGGGATTAGGGAAATGAATGGAAAAAAAAACAAGCAATAAATACAAAAAATACGTTAAAATATAAAATAAAAGATAAAAACTAAACAACAAAAAAAGCAAAGATGAAAAGTTGACGGAGAAGAATGACGAGTGATTGAAGCCGGATAAAAGGTTCGTGTGGCAGGGAGCAGGAAGATGAGACCACTCCTTCCTTCCTCTGGTCACTGCTTGCTAGTTACTCTTGATAACACGAGTCACTAATGGCAAGTAGTGGTCATTCGTGGTCGCTCATAGTCACTCGGAGTTACTCGTGGTCACTCGGGGTCACTCGGAATCACTCGTGGTCACTTGTGGTCACTGTGGTCACTTGTGGTTACTCATGGTAACTCGTAGTCAATCATGATCAGTCGGGGTTACTCGTGGTCATTCGTGGTGGTCACACGTGGTCATTCGGTGTTACTCCTGCTCCCTCACAATCACTTATCCTGCTTTTTTTTAACCTAAATTTATGCTCGCGTGTTTGTCATTAACGAGTTACCCTTTCATTCTATCGTCGTTTAAAGGAGCTTTTACTTCAACAAAATCCGCAGAGTGAGCAACGAGCAATTTAAAGATATCGCGCCAAGTATTCGATTCCTGTGAGTATGAACAAACTGCTATTATTCAAGGTGTGCGTGTGACTAAGCTTCATTGAGAGTTAACTCCAAATTCAAGGGGGACAATGCCTATAACTCTCAGACAAAGTTATTAACTTTGCTCCCAGATTAGCCTCCCTTCCGCCATCTTCACGGACACGTAATCCAATTAGCCTAATCATGCAAGTTAAGAATTGCATTATTCGAGTTGCCCATTGATACCTCTACAAGTGTAAAGCTAACGATGGGCTTTGTATACCAATACAAAGCTTATACCATTATTCACGCGCGAATTTTATACTCCTAAAACCAATCAGATCTGGCCACTGAAAACTTTGGGAAAAACTAATGAGGGCTTCGATTCGTCTCTGTCTAACGTCCCTCTCAAGTAGATTACAGTTGTAATATTGCATGTAGACACATTTCGACATATTAGGCATGTTTTACGTACTCCGTAACGAATTATTCTTACTCAGATAAGCGTGACTACATTGAAAAGGGGGCTTGGTTACTTGCCGTATGGGTATCAACGAAATTGAGGGAAATTTGTTCATTGACAGTGGTACACCCTACCGTTCCTCCTTGTCCACTGAATCCCAGGGAGTTACATAAAGTGTTAAGAGTTGATTTTTGGGAGGAGTGAGAGCTGGATGGAGCAACGGAAACAAGAGAGCCTAAAAGCTTGAAAATACTTAGGTTTAAGACAGCAACATCTTTATAATTAGCGAGTGATGTTAAATCGAATCGCTTTCCTTTAATTTGCAGTTACTTCCATTACAACGAAATGCGAGAACTACCGGCCGGTTTCTTCTCGAACATGGAGTATTTAATAACAACGTAAGACAGTGAAATATTCTCGATGTCTGGAGATGTCCAAATGAGAAATATTATTTATCAGTATACAAGAAGGCAACCTGTAGAGTATTACTATCACCCTTTCATTGTCTTAAATTCAGAATCAAAATTTTCTATTTTCCTCCCCTTTTGTGACTCATGTCAACTCTTTTTATGAACCGTAGGACTGTAGACACCAACCTGATGTGTTGCCATTTGACGAAGGAGGACGCAGATTGCGACTTTGCTTATGTCGACAGCTTCGCCAGTTGTGAAACTATGTTCAGAGATCGAGCCCCCAGGATATGTCTCTGGGTGGTCGGAATTATGTCGTTG